ACCCCATGTGAAAGTCCTTAACCTTAATCACATCTGCAAAGTCCCTTTTGCCAGGTAAGATAGACACCATAGGAATAGGACATGGGTATCTCTGGGGAGCCTTCATTCTGCATAAAAGTGAGGGTGTGTGTGTATGTATGTAGGTCTGTGTCTACCACCTCTGCATAAAAGTGAGGGTGTGTGTGTGTGTAGGTCTGTGTCTCCTCAGCCTTTGCCTCCAATGCAGAGGGCCCCTCTTCAAACTTTGTGTCTATTTTGCTATAGTCAGAATGGGGAAACCTTAGCCCATTAAACCTTAGTGAGGAAACCTTACCATATATTTGTGGTAAGCAAATACATGCAAAACCACCATGCAAATAGGGACCTGGCTGGAGCCCCTCTCCTGGGGCTGGCTTTCTAGGGAACTCGAAGATAATTCACAGAGATCCCTTCCAACGCATCTATCCATCCCAAGCTCAGAATCAGGTCCAGAGAGGCCACAATGATGGGAAATAAATGAGGTGTTGAGTGACCACGAAGCAGAACAAGCCTTATACCCCATGCTAAGGGCTAAGATGCAGTCCCTCAGCTAGCCCACCCAGTGGAGCTCTCCAGCCCCTCCCACCCAACCAACCTGCCCTCCACACACCATGCTCTCCTGCCTGGGCATTCTCCTCATTCCCTCCCACCACAGCCCTTGCCTAAGGAGGCCCCTCCCACCTGGGAGGCTTCCCCTTTCCTCCTCTCTGACTCGAACTCTGAAGCATCCTTCAAGACCCAGCTGAAGTTTCCCCTGCTCAAGGAAGACTTTCTCAGCATGTCCCTGTCCTCCTCCAAGGGTGTACCTTGTCCTTTGAGCACAGGGTACTGTCTCCTGGTTCTATTTCTTTCGTAGTGCCCATCACCAAGATGGCCACACAACAGGCCCTTGGTCAATGTCATGTCCTGGGCACACTACACCCTTTCAGGCCTCTGCACTTCTGCACATGCTGTCTGCTCTTGACTAGAATATTCTTTCCTAACTCCTCTTGCAAGGTCTCATCTCCTGAGGAGCCTTCTCCACCTCCCCTCCCACACTGCTCTTCTCTTTTTAACATTACCACTTTTCTCTTTTTAGAACCTATCCCTGTTATACCATTCTTCATGTGAACTATAATTCCATTAGACCCAAGGAAACAAATCCATCTTATATAAACATTTGTTGAGTGACTACTCTGCTAGACACTGTGCAAGGTGCCGGGGAAATAGACATGAATCACACAGAGATCTGGCCTAAAGGGCCTAATGACTTGCGTTAGTCTGGTACCCACACCATACCGGGTAGTTGAAGAGGACTAGGACACAAATCGGATTCCTCTGTGAGTCCCCATCGGCAAGCACATACCAGCCCATAAGGAAGATTTGTGGAACAATGCAAGATTTTGACATTCTTGAGTTGTAGCTTCACCTCGGACAAGCTGCTTTACTTTCCTGAGCCTCAGGTTCCTTATCTGCTAAATGAAGGCAGAATTCTCAGGGCTGGGCTAAGGATAAGTGGAGACTATGAGTGGGAAAACCCTCTGGAGACCAACCATCTCTCCATATGTATGAAAGGTAGTGACTGTGACTGTGACATTCTCCTCTGTCCCCTACCAGGGTCAGCCATGCTCCTCAAGGCTTATGGAAAGAATGAGTAAGCAGCTCTCACTAGCACTGAATTCATACCACTCAAATCTGGCCCTTCCTGGATCCTAGAGAATTCTCTGCATAGAGTCATGGTTTCCATCTTCAGCCTCTGGGCTGTGGATTTATTGATTTCTGTTGAGAAATCTCCATCCTACTCCTGCTTTCCATTCCTAGACCCTGGTTTGTATAAATCACAAATAAGGCAAATGTAAAAATCTAAGAATGGGAAGGGTTAAGCTAGGGGAATCCCTTCCAGGGACTCACATCAGAGCTGGTGACGTGGTTAGGCTACTATGTTAGAGAACATGGGAGCTTGTGAATGGGGAGACATTTACCTGGGGTCCCCAGCAAGTCAGCAATAAGAGAAAGGTGAGACCCAAGATGCCCGGATCCCATCCCATCCACTCCATATAGGGCCACCAAAGACCTTCCCTATCTGGGTCCCCTATCATTCTTTCTCATCTCTCTCCACCCCACACATCCAGTTCTGCCCAGATTCTCAATGTTCTCCAAACATGCCCTTGAATGAAAGATGCCTCTTTGTGCACCCTCTTTTCCCACTTATCTACCAGTAGGCATAACTCCTACTCATCCCTCAAGGCTCACTCAAATGTTTTCTTTTCTGGAACAAAAGCCTAAATTTAGTTTGTCCAGAACCCATTCATTTCCCCTCTTCTGTGTTCTCATGTATTCTCTATATACATTGATTTTAACAATTATTACCCTCCTCTATAATTGTCTATAATTGTCTTAGTACTCACTATACTCTATTTTTCTCTAAGGCAGGAATTATTTCTGCTTCTCCTCTGTCCCCAGGGCCTAGAAAGGTGTCTGGCACTCAGTTGGTACTCAGTAAATGTCACCAGCTAACCCATCATCATGACTTACTGAGCCTGGCTGATGACCTTCAAAATAAACTCTGTTACTAGGTAATTTCCAGCAGGTGGAGTTATCGGGAAGGACAGGGCAAATGGTACCTGATGTAGGAATCCTGTAAGAAAAAGATGCTGGAGGAGAAACTGATGGAGACACAGGTCACAGGAGGAAGATGAGGAATCCAGGAGAAGGTCATGCTGGGCCCTGGGGACATAGTAACCATTCAGTCCCTGCCCTCAAGGAGCTCATGGTCTGCTGGGGAAATAAACAGAAGCACAATTTTATATGGAATGAGGCTGTAGTAGACCATTTTCTCCTCCTAATACCCTTTCTTTGCATGGCTTCCAAGATACCATCAACTCACCCAGCTTTCTACTTATCTTTTTGGTCTTCCTTCTCCATCTGGTTTGTTGCTTTTCCTAGTTTCCTCAAATTCGGAATATTGGAGGACACTATTTTCCATCTACACTCACTCCCTTGGTGATCTCATCCAGTCTCATGACTTTAAACACCATCTATGTGCCAATGACTCCCAAATCCAGCCCAGATCTCTGCCCTGACCTACAGATTTGTATGCCTCCCTGCCGCCTCAACATCTCTACTCTAATGGGCATCTCAGACTCAACACACTCAAACCTGAGCTCCCCATCAAAAAAAAAAAGAAATCCCTCCCTCATCACCTCCCCAGTCTTTCCCATCTCAAAACAGTTGCAACGCCAATCTTCTAGTTGTTCAGCCCAAAAATCGTGGCTCCTTTCTTATTCTGGCATTCTACATCTGTTAGCAAACCTTGTAGTCTCTACCATTTAAATAAATTTAGAATTCAACCACTTCTCATCCACTACCTTTAGATTATCATAACAGGCTCCCAACTGGTCTCCCTGCTTCTGCCATTGCTTCCCCTATGCCCAGTCTATTCTTTATAGAACAGCCAGAGTAACTCAGTTAAAATGTAAATCAGATTGTGTGGACCCTGTGCTCACAACCCTCCACTGACTCCCCAACTCCTCATGTCCTACCTATTACTCGCCCTAGAGAACACTATGCCCAAGCCATTCTAGGCCCTCTGCACTTCCATTCTCTCTCACTGAAATGCTCTTCCACAAATATCAGAAGGCTCTCTGCTCCTTCAGACCTTTACTCAAAAGTCACCTTCCCAGTGACTTTGGCCCCCCAATCAAAAATAAAACACCTCCCCTGCAAATATTTTATTCCCACTTCTCAGATTTTTCTCCTCAGTATTTACTGCAATCTTAAAACTACATATTTTATTTATCTATCTTCTTCATTGTTTACCTCTCTCATAATGAAGGCTGTATGAAAAGAGGGACTTTTTTGGTCTGTTTTGTTTACTACTGTATACCCACTACTAAGAATAGTGACGGACATATACTAAGGCACTCAATAGGTATTTGTTGAACGAATGAAAAAGGTAGTCATTTCCAAGAGGCAAAGTGTACTCTTTAATGAAAAACTATAACAAACGGTGCTATTTGGTAATATAATCACATTCAATATGCACAGTACATGACCTCTTGAACAATTCTTATCCAATCTTCACATCAGCCCAGGATAGAAGGAAGGCTGGGCAGAGATTATGATGCTGGTTGACAAAGAAGCTGAGTTCAGAGAGCAAAAGGACTCGCCAAAACTCACACATCTGGCCAGGACAGTACTGGAAATGTGGACGACTGCTGTCCCTGGAAGAGGCTGGTAAGTGATGGAGTTTAATAGGAATTGGGTTTGAAGGACCTCTGTTTCCAGAAAGCATGAGTATCTCTAAAGGGGAAGCTGAGTCAGAGGTTACTGGAACTGAGGCGTCAGCAAAGGAATGGGAGAGGTTACGAGGTTGACCTCTAAGGGGACTTGGCCCAGGTCTGAGAAGAGCAGCAGATTCCCCAAGCAACAGAATGCTGTGCCTGAGGCTGACTAGTCATTCAAGTCTGTACATAATCTCCAATGTCAGAATTCAACAGACAACCTTAAGAGAGATCACTGAGTCTACTGCATGTCTGCAGGGTTTGGCTTCCCTGGACTGTGAGGTCTTCCAGGGAAGCCACCATTTTCATAGATGTATCCCCAGTTTCTAGCAAGGCCTGGAATATAGTAATATAGGAACTCAAATATTTTTGTTCAGAGCAAAAATAAAAAAGAATGAATGTGCTCAAACGGGAAACTGAAGCTGAGAGAGCACAGACAGGAGGGACATAACATTAACCAGCAATTCTGGAGTAGTAACAGATCAGGTTTCTGGGATGCAGCAGGACAAACGGCCCTCGCACTAAGAGGTTGCTGTTAACTATTCTTCAGAAGGGGTTAACAAGCAAATGGTGCCTGGGAACAAAGCGGCAGGGGTTAAATGTAGCCGAAGTAGTGGGGCCAGGATGGAGAGGCCGATTGGCTGAGACTCGAGGCAGGTCACACTTCCTTCCCTAACACTGTGACTAAGGTATGTCAACGTCACATCCGGTTTAGTGGGCGGGAGCAGGGAACAAAAGGAGACGAAGGACGCATGCGTTTGGTGAGTCCCGGATTCTGGTGGGTTCTTCCGCTCAGGCTGAGGGAAGCGCTTCCGGGTCGCCGCCAGCTGCAGCCTCCCGGCGCGGTAAGTACAGAGACAAGGCTGCCGTCGTCTCCTTGCCCCTTCATTCTTTCTCCCACAGAAACCCATTCCCTTTGACCCGACTGCCCAGGAGCTCCATATTGAGAGTCCTTAACCCTTAAAGAGCTCCAGTTCATTGGCCGCTTCCTCGAGACTAAGCCCCACCCCCTCACACAAGGTCCGTCATTCATTGGTGTCACTTCCTGTCACCCAGCATTTCTTTCAGTTAATTGGCCCTACCCAGGCCCCGCTTTTTTCGCGTTTAGCAACCCTATAAGGCCAAATTTCTGTCTTGAGTCCCGCCCTACTTTCTTTCTGTTGGTCAACTGCTTGGTCATTACCGTAATGAGTAAAGAATGGGCGGTGGCTTTGCGACGGTGGGTTGGGCTTTCCGAGCTGAGATCTCTGGCCTGTCAGTACTTCTTGGACATGAGGGTGTTTTCTCTCGTGCCTAATTACGCAGGTTGGGAATCTGAGATACAGGGAAGGGCAGCGGCTGGCCCTGGGTTGGTCAGATAAATTAGGACAGAAGCAGGACCAGGCATCAATTCTTTTCTCCTGCTCATCACTTTCACGGAGGAGTTCTAAGCCCCGACTCACTGTATGACCTAAAGCCAGTCTCTGCCTGTCGCTGGGCCTCAGTTTGCCTGTCCTCAGTTTAATAAAGATTATCTAGCACTCCTGGTCGGCTCCCTCAGCCGCTCAAAGCTGATTGTACCCTTATAATGTTAGTTCATCCATTCAATCTTACATCTACTTATTTATCCACTTATTCATGCCTCCTAGAATGTCTTACTAAGCCCTACTTGCATATGCTACAATCCCCCCACCCCAACATTTGGCTGTGATTCATGAGCGGTCGTTACTGTCCTAAATTTCTGACACTGGGTGGGTGTGGTATGGGCCATCATAAAGGTGCAAAAAGCAGGTTTTAGTGTGTGGAGGAGGTAGGGATAATTTCAGTAGAACCCTGCTACCTCTAATTTTGTATAATTTCATAATGCCAGTCTGCATTCTGGATTCCTATTCCTACACTTGACTCCCATTCCCTTCCCTCCTTGAACAACCTGCAAACAGCTTTATTTATCCATTATTTACTTAATTATCAGAATAACTTTGACGGTGGTATAATTGTTATTATCCCCATTTTACAGATGAAGACATTGAGGCTCAGAGAGGTTAAGTGACTCAGCCAAGGTCAAACAGCTAGTAAGTGTTGAAGCCAGGACTCAAAGCCAGGTCTATCTGATTCCTAGTGGGAGGGGCTGCTTTCCTGCTGTCTTCCACCCTATCCCTAAATCAAATTACAACCAAATTAAAAATGAAAACTAAGCAAAACACATTCACTTGACCCTTTCCCTCAGTCTAGGAGCCATGTCCACTTTGTTCCCCTCACTCTTCCCTCGTGTGACTGAGACACTGTGGTTTAATCTGGATCGACCCTGTGTGGAAGAGACAGAGCTGCAGCAGCAGGAACAGCAGCATCAGGCCTGGGTGAGTGAGCAGCTAGCACAGCACAGAGACCCCAGCACAGACAGAGACCCCCTTCAGTGGGCCATGACCCAGCCTTATTCTGGAAATCTGCCCAGGAAGAGCTTTTTGCTCTCAGCTGGGAATAATCAGGCTGGGAGCCAGGGAGCCAAGGTTCTCATCTTGTCATACCCTAATTTACAGGGGTACCATGTGACTTCTGGGCCAGATTAGAGCCCAGGCTGCTGACACTCAGCCCAAGCTCTTTTCCCTAAACACAGGAAATAATTTTGACTATTGAGGATCTAGCAGATGACGCTTTCTAGGCTGGTAATTCTCTCACTTCATCCTCACCATAATTATACGAAAAAACCAAGGCTCAGAAAGTTTAAGTATTTAGATCAAGTTCATAAATGGCAGATGACAAGAAAGGGATTGAATCTCCCTGAGAACTGGGAGGAAGCTTCTCCCCCACACGTGTGGCTCGTCTTCTGGGCAGAACGGGCCAGTCCCATGCCCCTGACCTGCCCTACTTGGGCTCTGGCCTTGTTCGTCTGTGCCTCTGCCCACAGCTCCAAAGCATCGCAGAGAAAGACAACAACCTGGTTCCTATTGGCAAGCCAGCCTCAGAGGTGAGTGGCTCTAGCAGGTGGGGCCTGTGTGGGGGCCACAGTGGACCGAGGCTCTGCTCTAATTCTGAATGTCCTGCCTCTCACCCAGAGCAGTTGTGGTTCTCAGATCTGGGTGAAGGGCAAAAACAGGAGATAGAAGGGGTGGGCATTGGGCCTAGCATTAAGGTCCTGCAGAACATGCACCAGCCTGCTAGACTCAAGGAGGGAGGGTTGGGGTGGGGGGGGGTCATTCATTGGCCCTAGAGAGAGGTTCAAGTGGGTCAGTTCTTGAACTGATCCACGCAGGCCTGTAGGGCTTACAGGCTCTGTCCTGCCCACCAGCACTATGACGACGAGGAAGAAGAGGATGATGAAGACGATGAGGATAGCGAAGAGGACTCAGAGGATGATGAGGACATGCAGGACATGGACGAAATGAATGACTACAATGAGTCGCCTGATGACGGAGAGGTCAATGAGGTAGGCAGGGGGTATGGGGGAGGGCCTCTCTTCCTGGGCCCCTGCTTCTGACCCAGTTGATGGCCAAAGGGTACAGAAACCCTGGATCCAGCCAGGGGCAGGATCTGGGGCTGAGGCTGGCTGAGGCCCCTCCCCACCCACACCCAGCCTCCTCTCCAGGTGGACATGGAAGGCAACGAACAGGATCAGGACCAGTGGATGATCTAGGTAGACAAGGCAGGGTGGCCTCAGAGAGATTCCAGGCCAGCCCAAACTACCCTGCATCCCAACCCCCAACCCCTGCCCACAGAACCAGCTGATGGCCCCAGTGCCTGAAAGTGCCCTTGGGCACCTCCTCAGCTGCTGCCAGGATCTGGTCTCCTTGGCCCCTCCCAGGCCATCGATCTGCACTTGAAATCCCCAGGGCCTGAGCCCCACTCCACCTTCCTGGCCAGTACCTCACCCCTTGATTGGCAGGTCTGGTCTCTTTCTAAGTTTCTTTAATAAAGACAAAGGAGTGATTTTCCCCCCATGTCTATTCGCTCTTTGTTGGTGGGGCCCAGAGGAGTCCAGCATCTTCTTTTGGGCTTTGGGGAGAGGGCACTCAAGGGACATCAGCCACACCTAATTGGCTAAGTGGGCCAGGGTTAGGGAAGGCCAGGGCATGCCTGGCCCTGGGTCCAGGGTTCTGTGCCATTTTCTCTGGCCCAGCTTGCATCCAGCTATTCCTGCAGGGCCTCTAACTCACTGTCTGCCACTTCCTCTGATCCCACCCCGAATGGCATGGGCTGAGGATGGGAGGCTTTCTGAGGCCGAGAACTGGGAGGTCCCTGGAGCTCTCCCATCCAGCTTCCTTCATGTTAAGAGAGAAGATTAAATCTCAGAGCAAGGCAGGGATTCCCTTGGAGTCACTCAGCAAATCAGTGACGGAGATGGGTAGGGAGCTCAGCAAGAATGCTGTCAGTCCATGGTTCTCCCTGGAAAGAGGGGGCCTAGTGAGACCAAGCAGCCTGATAGAACTTGACACTTGAGGTCAGTGTAGAGGCTGAAAGGGGTCAGAGGTGGGAAGAGAGACTCCCTAGCCCTAAGCCCAGCATGTCTCAAGGCCCCAAACAGGAAAGGGAGCAGATTCTGAGGTCCCTGCTTGGGTGGGGGTGGGGGTGGGGGTGGGTGTGGGCATCAGTAAGTACCCCTGGGCCTGGACCTCAGCCTGGTCCAGCATAGGTGAGCTGAGCTATGCCATCCTTGATAGCGGGGAAGTCTGGAAGGCCAGTGTGGTAGAGGCGGCAACGGTAGCGGCCACAGCTCTTAGCATACTGCAAGAAGCGGGGTGCACCAGGGAAGAGCACATGGTCAGCCAGCACAGTGGCACCTGCTGGCAGTAGGGCATGGGCCTCCAGCAGCTGCAGGTCCCTCAGGTAACATCGTGGCCGGTGTATCAGGAGCACCAGGTCTGCCCGACTCAGCTGATACTGGGTGCGTAGGCACGGGATCACCTCCTCTGAGCTGCCCACGATGAGCTCCACCTGTGAGGATAGGGGGAGCTGGAGGTGAGGGTGGGGGGAATTGTTCTCCCAGTGAAGACCCCACAAGGATCTGGCTTACTTCATGCCAGGTCCTGGCTTAGCTCCCCATGAGTGTTCTCACATTTCCTCTGACCTCAGAACCTAAGAAGTCAGGATCAGTATTGTGATTTCCATTCTGCCTGTGAAGAAGCTGAGGTTCAGAGGATGCATGCTTTGCTAAAGGTCACATAGCTAACAAGAGGCAGAGTAAGAGCTGGACCCAAATTTGCTGGGTTCCAGAGGCCTTCCTCTTAGCTGTTTCTTTTGTCATCCGGCAGAAAATAATGTGCAGATGACTTGGGACAGGAGGACACACCATCCAGCATCACAGTCCCCAGAGTGGAGGAGGTGTTTCCTTCTCCTTAGATGGGAGTCCCTCACAAGGGATGTCTGGCTAGGGTAAGGCCTGGGGTGACAGAAATCTGGGTTGGGGAGATGGGAGACTGACCATGTGCTCATCAAAGCCGGCCAGGCGGATGAGTTTTTCAGCCACTGCTGCTGTGCGTGGGTCCCGCTCCACAGTAAGAAGGCGACCCCCAGGGGGCAGGGCTCGGGCAATAAGCAGGGTAGAGTATCCACAGTACGTTCCCAATTCCAGCACACAGGCAGGGGCCTTCTCCTCCACCAGCCGCATCAGAATCTGACCTATGTGGGGAGATGGCTGTTGCAGAAGACATGGGAGACGAATGCAGGGCCCCTGATAGAAAGATATCTCAAATGCTCACCCGCCTCACTGCAGCTCCCAACCAGTTGGGGTCTCATCTGTCTCTTGTACCATAGCCCCAACTGCCCTCCGGGTCCCCGTCTCCTACAGTGTAGTCTTCACACCAGCCCTGGAATCTTTCCAACCAATCTGACCTTATTACTCCTTGGCTCCTGTGAGCTGAAGGCCTTTGGGATTGAACTTGGGATCCTCAGCCTGGCATTCAGGACCTTGGACCTGATCCTATTCCACCTCCCAGGTTCATCTCTCAGTACTTCCCACCTATGGCCTGTATCACAGCCATCCCAAACAACTGTACCCAGAATCCATCATGCCATCTCATTCCTTCATGCCACATGTGTATATGTGGCTGGCTTTGCCCTTCCCACCCCCATCTCCATCTGCCTGGCCAACTCAAAACTTCCAGATTTAGTTCAAATGTTGCTCTTTCTCCATGAGGTCCCAGGCAGAAACAACCACCCTATCTTTGAGATTTATGAAAGGTCTCTGTTAGAATTTGTAGTTTCATTCCCCTTTTATTGCTCATTGAATATATTTCTGATCTTGGAATTGGACAAACTTCTATTTATTTATTTATTTATTTATGAGACCAGGTCTTGCTGTGTTGCCCAGGCTGGAGTGCAGTAGCGTGATCATGGCTCACTGCAGCCTTGACCACCCAGGCTCAGGCAATCCTCCCACCTCAGCCTGCCTAGTAGCTGGGACCATAGTTACTCACCACCACACCCGGCTAATTTTTAAATTTTTTGTACAAACGGGTCTCACTTTGTTGCCCAGGCTAGTCTCGAACTCCTGGGCTCAAGTGATCCTCCTGCCTTGGTCTCCCAAAGTGCTGGGATTACAGGCACGAGCCACCAGTGCCTCAGCCAGTGAGCCACCAGAAATTCAGCCAGTGAATTTCTGAATTTCTTTCCTTTTTTTTTTTTTTTTTTGAGACAGGGTCTTGCTCTGTCACCCATGCTGGAGAGTGCAGTGGCACAATCACGGCTCGCTGCAGCCTCAGCCTCCTGGGCTCAAGCAGTCCTCCCACCTCAGCCTCCAAAGTAGCTGGGGCCACAGGTGTGTGCCACCATGCCCAGGTAATTTTTGCATTTTTTGTAGAGATGGGTTTTTGCCATGTTGCCCAAGCCGGTCTCAAACTCCTGAGCTCAGGCAGTCTGCCCACCTCGGCCTCTCAAAGTGCTGGGATTACAGGTGCGAACCACCACACAGCCGAATTTCTTAAATAAGACCCTAAAAGCATTTATGCTGGGACTGAGATAAATCCAGGCAGACAGCTACCCTAAATGGTATGTGGAAGCCTCCATGGTGGAGAAGAAAGATGTGGAGACAGATAATTACAAAGCTATGGGTTATCTGCTGAGATGGTTATTCCACTGTGTATTACGCTTCCTTTGAGGCCAGCATTTATGGCTAGTTCATCTCTGTGGCCTCTACCCCCCTCCCTGGCACCTAGCACATTCCTAATACAAAAGAGGTGGCAATAAATGTTTGCTGAATAAATGACTTAGTCCAAGCTCCCCTTTTCCAGATGAGAAAAAAAAAGAGGCCCTAAAAGAGGATCAAGAACCTGCCCTATTCCCCCAGTAAAGCAGCAACAGATCCCAAATATTCCTTCACTGCCTTGGGGGTACTTCTTGGAGCAGAAGGCTAGGGAACACTGACCTTTGACAGGCCCCATATGGCTCAAGTACTCGCAGTGGCTGCTCCAGTGGTCCAGGGTGGTGAGGATGTGACCGGGGTCACCGGGCAGGGCATGGGTGAGCACGTAGCTGAAGGCCCGCTCCTCAATCCGCAGCCCTGACAGGCAGTCTCGGAGGCTTCGCAGCAAGACCGTGCCCACCAGCAATCGGAAGTAGTGCCGGTACCGCACCAGCAATGTTACCACCAGTGGCAGGAAGGCCAGTGCAATGGCAGGGGACATGGTCCCTACCTGGGTCCTGGGGTGGAGGGAGGGAAACCCACACCCACAATTTAACTATTTGTGTAGCCTTTGCCAGTAGCAATTATCCTTATGTTTTACAAACCATGGCTCAGAAAGGCTAAGGCTTTTGTCCAGAGTCACACAGCAGAACTGGGATTTGAATCCAGGTTAATATGATTCCAAGCCTGTGTACTTTCAAGGACTCCATACTGTCTACTTTCAGCACCCAGCCCCAAATCACCTCTTCCCAGTCCCAACCCCTGGTTCCATCTTCACATTGTTCCCCTGACTTGTTTCTCTTTATCCCTGAAGTCACCCCTTCTTCAGGACCCCTTTCACTAGTTCCCTTCTGGGATATCTTCCCCCACCCCTACCCTCTGCCTGCTTGGACTCCTCTGACCACTGCTGTGTAGCAAAAGAGCATAGGTTTGCAGTCAAAAACACCTTCACCATCACTGTGCCCTGCCTCAGTAAAAGGCAATCAAAATACTCCATAGGGTGTTAGGGTGAGATGTCCTCTTTCCCACCCCAGGACCCTCCCTCTGCCTGCTCTTCCCTGCGGATAGGAGGAGTCTTTGATTCTGTAATAATTCTCCAGCCCTATCTCCTCTCTGCTGTATTCCCTTCTTCTCCTGTGCTGTCTTAGAATTCCCTTCACAAATGTGTACATACACATAACACACAGCACACATATTCCCTCTACTCAGCTCTTCTCTCCAGAGGCCTATGGGGAATGGGCCTCTCCTCCCATGTCCTGGGCCATTCTCTTCCTCATCTAGATCTGACCTCCTTGCAGGCCTTCTTGCAAGGCCCCTGGTGGTGGCGGGGAGTAAAAATGAAAGAGTGTATGGATGGGTGTGAATAGATGAGTGATGCGGTGGGCTTGAACTGGTGTGCTTGGGAACCCACAATCCAGGGCCCTGCTTACCTGGGCTGGAGGCTCCTGCTTAGGCAAGACCAGAGCACAGGACAGGTTGAGGGAGTCCAGGGCCTGCTGTGGGGGATAACTCTGAGCAGGAGGCTGGACTGGCTTTCAATTATTCATGCTGAGGTGGCTGCTGTCACCTGAGACCTGCAGTTCAAGTTACCAGCCCCAGGGATGAGCTTAAGCTGCCTCCTACCCTTCAGGAACCTCAAAAGATTTACAGAACCTCAGGGTCTTGATTTGAGGGGTTGTAAGAGGTACGAGATCTGGCGACTTCTGCGATCCCTTGGATCAGAAGATGGGGCATGGGGTGAGCCAAGGTGATGGGGTGACTGTAATGTACTCACTGATATGCAAGTTTTTTGTAAGCAAGGCCATGCCTTGGGCCACAGGTAAGAGTCAGAACCTGTCATTGTGCTCCAGGAACTCCCAAGTTTGGTAGGTGAGACTGACCCAGGAACATAGAATATAGTGTGATCACTATTGGATGTTCCATGACTACAGGGACTTTGGCTGTTTTGTGAACTGATGCATATCCAGATATAACAGTGTGTGGCACATAGTAGACGCTCAGCAAATATTTGTTAATAAATGCATGAATTAACACTGGATGAGGATTAAGCATAGAGAGCTGGACATGTCCAGAGAATGGGGTCAGAGAAGGTAATCAGGAGGACATTGTACTGAGTCTCGAAGACAGTAGGCAGACCAGGCTGCATGTGCAAAGTCCAGTAGATCAATCAGGAAACATCATTTCTCTACGTCCAGTGAAACACATTGCTCACCCCTCCACCCCCTCACCCCTCACCTCAGAACATGCAGTGGAAGAGAGGTGTCAGGCTCTGCGTGACTTTGATATGTCAGATGGGTAATGTGCCAAAACAAGATTTGAGGGTGGGCGCATTTCACACACGCGGGTGAACACCCAATCACACGCGCATGAACAACAAATGGATCACTATACAATTTTGGACGGACTTGGACCTGTGTTCAGGGCCCAAGGGAAGACATGGGGGAGGAGGGGCGTTTAGGAAAAGAAAACTGATGGTCAGCTTTGTGCGTTAGATTTACTATGGGTCCTGTAAAAAAAAGGCAGAATTAAAGATAAAAGCCTGAAGGCAGAGAGGTCAGTGAGGTGACTTCTATCTCCTCCACCAGGATTTATCTCCGCTCCGCGTCAGCATGTGAAGGTAGTATAAGGTCCCTTCTTCCTGTAAGTCGCAGATCCCCAGCCCAGATGCAGAATACACCCTCTGTGTATTCACCCCCAGCCCAGCTGGGCGATACACCCTCTTTTCCCCTACTGGGTACCGGTCATCTGGATCCTCTGTGTGTGCACCCAGGCTGTACGATCTAGGAGCGTCAGGCCTGGATCCCACTCGCCCCTTGCATGGCATTTAGAAGAGTATATCACAAGGGCATACAAGGGCATTTGCTACGAGTTCGCTCAATGGCCCAGAGAAGTGGCCTAGTGGCCACGAGAACGCATAACACAATTCACGACAGCCTCTACTGCCAGTTTAGAGACTGGAAAGATGAAGTCATGTGATCCGCCCCTCCCTTTCCTCGCTTCACTTGCCTGCGTGTCCGGTTACGCCTTCCCATTGGTTGACAACGATCACGCGCTAGCGGGCGGGACCGGAAGCTGGGGTATTGCCTGAGGCGGCCCAGCGGCTCCGGGAGAAGGGATACGGGGGGTGGCGGCGGGTGGTTGCCTGCGGGAGGCAGTTGCGGGTCATGTGACCGGAAGGGCTCCTGACGGACGCCGTCCCTCCTCGGCGCGGCCTGAGCGCCCGGCCTGACCCCGGCCATGGGATGCTGCTACAGCAGCGAGAACGAGGACTCGGACCAGGTGCGGCCGCGGCAGGCGGGGCTCGGGAATGAGGGCTAAGACCCTGGGGCATGGGGCCCCAGAAAGAAATCTGCGGAGAACGGGCAGCCGGACTGCAGGGCTCACTGAATACGGAGGCCTGGAGGGGACAGATTACACAGGAGACGCCAAGCCGGACTCCTACCCCAGTTAAAGCCCCAGCTTTCTACGCGGTCCCCGCCTCGGGGTGTACAGGCAGCCGCCTGTCCGGCTCGCTCCCACCACTTCCGTTTGCTCCTACCTTCAAAACTTTCCAGATTCAAGGATCCTCAGTCTAGGTCCCCGGGAAATACTCCCTTGCCAGCTTCCTGTGGGCTTTGCGAATCCATTGCAGGGGTGGGTAAGCTGAGGCCCTGAGTTAGGCTGTCCTGCCATGAATCAGGAATTCATGTATCGTCTTAGTCCCTGGGGTTGCAGAAGGAAGGTCGCTGCTAGTCTAGGGCCAGAGGACGATTCTGGAAGTTGGTGGCCTTTGAGTTGGCCAATGAAGGATTTAATGGATACAGTGAGGACATCGGGACATGGGGGAAATTGTCTGGGAAGCAACAAAGAGGGTTTAGCTTTGACTAGATTGTGGTAAAAGAGAAATGGAGCGGGAAGTTCATTTGGTTCTGAGTTTGGCTTGCCTCAGTGCAGTCTGCGTGGGGCCTGAGGGTTCCTTTAGCTGGAGACATGCCTGTTCTGAGAATTTGGCTGTAGATCTGATCCCTCTGACGAAAGGCTTAGGCTGGGGAGACCTGTACAGTTTTAAATTCTCCCTCTTCCTCTTAGTGCATTCTCACTTCTCTCCATATTCTAATCCCTGCCCCGCCTGGCCTGACATTCAAGGATGAAGTCTCAAGTTGCTGTCCACTCTCCTTTTTTGATCGTCTCTAACCCTGGATTATACATTTGAACATATAGTAGACCTGAGAAAGTAGAAAGGTTTCAAGTAGCTCACAGTCTAATAGGGGAGATGGTCACAAAAATAGATTATATCACTGGTACTTGGGAAGTAGTTATTTCTTCAGTGAACGTATTTTGGATTAAGGGCTTAAGCTTAGGAAAATGTCATTTGTGGCCGGGCGCGGTGGCTCAAGCCTGTAATCCCAGCACTTTGGGAGGCCGAGACGGGTGGATCATGAGGTCAGGAGATCGAGATCGTCCTGGCTAACACGGTGAAACCTCGTCTCTACTAAAAAATACAAAAAAAAAATAGCCGGGTGAGGTGGCGGGCGCCTGTAGTCCCAGCTACTCGGGAGGCTGAGGCAGGAGAATGGCGTGGACCCGGGAGGCAGGGCTTGCAGTGAGCTGAGATCCGGCCACTGCACTCCAGCCTGGGAGACAGAGCGAGACTCCGTCTCAAAAAAAAAAAAAAAAAAGAAAATGTCATTTGTATGGGAAGCAAGGGGTGGCTTCTGGTTCTCAATTCTCCATACACCCAATGAACACATATTTCCTTTGCTCTGTGTTAGGCATGTGTCATCCTAATACCTCTCACTTCACCTCCACCTTTTTGAGAAAGAGACAACAATAACCCTGCCTACTGGGAGAGCTGTGGCCTAGTGGGAAATTGTCCCTTAAAGCATAATGTGGACTCTTGCAGGGAATGAGTCAAGAACGATTAATGCCTTATGAGAAAGGATACCAGCTTCTACTTGGAAGGGAGAGCTGGGCCTGCTGCTCTCCTGAATCTCTACCTTCTCCTTGGTAGGCTCTCCTTTCTGTTCCTAACACCCAGAGAAGGTGTTTAATCACTGCTGGGTGATTTGAGGCCTCACGTAGCAAGAGCCGTAATCATCCACCTCCCAGAGTCCCTCTTTCAGTTCTTGGGCAGGCTCCTCTCCCACTCTCATCTCTGTCTCTTTATCACAATAAAAAATGTACAACACATTACAGTTTACAAAGGGCCTTGATAGTTATCTAATTTGACTCTTGCCAGACATCTGTCATATTAGTGTGGGTTATGTCTATTTAAAGGTGAGGAAAAAGTTCAGAGAAGCTAAGTGATTTGGCCAAGCTGAGAAGTGCTAATGCCCAGGTGTTCTGATGCCAAGCCATGTACTTTATCCATGGGGCCAAGCAGTCTCATCTATGCCCCTAGACCAGGTGGCCAGTCATGGGCAGGGTGCTATGTCTGTGCTAAGGTAGACAGTGAAACCCTGCCTCTTGGGTTACACTGACGCAGAGACAAACCTTGATGTGACAAACCTAACCCATGCTCCACTCGCACTTCGGGAATGGGGTGATACTTGTCTACTCTGAAGGGGGTAGCATGGCCTCTTCTTTAAGTCTAGGTTTCAAGAAAACAACCTTGTTCCTCCCTTGATCTTAGCTGAAGGCTGAGAAGTGATCAGCCAACCTTCTTCTTGAAGAACCCCTGATAGGGAAGAGACTACCCTGTCCTGCAGGAAGATCTGTCTGAAGTGGAGCTGGGAGAAGAACAGACACATAGGAAGCTAACTTGGGCTTCATTATGGAGCCAGCTTTCCTTAGAAATACATAGTTTTATCTTTGGCAAACATTTTGTCTTTTTAGCTCTTTAATACTGAGCCTATGTTTTAGGGAGGAAGGGTGTCTGGGAGTTTATAGAGGTGATGGGGCAAAGCCCACAGCTTCTGTCTTTTGCTGCTGGGAACTGGATCAAATTGCCTGAGGACACTTGGGCAACCTAGGCTTGAGAAAGAAGAGTAAGATGAAAAGGCTGGGCCTCCCTAAGCAGGGCAGGAGGAAGTAGCCCTCTACAAGGAGAGTTGTGGAGTTGTGGGCAGGGGAGCTGGAGCCTGCAGCAGGAAAGACTGAGGAACTGAGACAGGCCTGGAGGGGAGCATTGAGGAGTCTGACACTGAAGGTTGGTGAGTCAGCATTAGCCAGGATGTCCCCCTGGACCCATCCTTGGCTTTGTCCAGGGCACTCTTGCTCTTTATGGGTTGGATAGATACCCAGCAGGTGTGTTTTTCCAATTTACCACTGATAACAGCAGTCAAGGATTTGCAGCTGATGGACTCAAGGCAGGGTCAAATCCAGAAATATTACAGTAGATAGAACAGGGGACTGAAACAGGACAGGTCTACCACTGATAACAGCAGTCAAGGATTTGCAGCTGATGGACTCAAGGCAGGGTCAAATCCAGAAATATTACAGTAGATAGAACAGGGGACTGAAACAGGACAAGTAGTAAGACCAAACCAGTGAGGAAGCTTGGTTTGGTCTTACGTTAGTTCAGGGGTTGTGATTATCAGCATAGGCCAGCAGTAACAGGGCTGCTGAAAATTTACATGGGCTACTCAGGTGGTTTAGCAAGGGCGGGAATAGCTCCATTGTTGTTTGTTTTGAGATGGAGTCTTGCTCTCTTGCCCAGGCTGGAGTACAGTGGCACAGTCCTAGCTCACTGCAGCCTCAAACCCTGGGTTCATACAGTCCTCGCACTTCAGCCTCCCAAGTAGCTGGGACTGCAGGGCTCACACTACCAAGTCCAGCTAATTTTTTTTTTTTTTGTAGAGACAAGGTCTTGCTTTGTTGCCCGGGCTGGTCTCAAACTCCTGGACTCAAGCAATCCTCCTGCTTTGGGCTCCCAAAGTGTTGGGATTCCCAGTATAAATCACCACACACGGGTACAGCTCTACTCCTCAGATCAGGATACACCTCGTACACTCAGTTTGATTCTGGGAGTCACATAGAAAAAGAGTACCAGAGCACAAGAGGGTGAACACCTTCCTAGGGACCTGCCTTCAAGAAGGGAACACACTTGTACTGTGTGACCCAGAGCTGGGCTGGGATTCCTGCCCTGACATAATTTGAGAAATGGCCATGGAGAGGTTGGGCTTTCTTTCCCTTGGGGCCTAGGGCCTTGTCTGGACTCACCAGGGCTTCCATCTTGGAAGGAAACAGCTTTGCTGGGGAGGGCCTGGTCCTGGGGGATGAGGAGGGCTGTTCTTGGGCTCCTGACTTGCAAACTCCTCTGTCTTCCAGTCTCTAGTATCCTTTCTCTGCCAGGTCCTAGAATGTTTTTCAAGCTCCAGGGCTGTTGCTGACTATCTGCTTTGTGCCTCTGTCCCTTTTTTCAGGGCCTCTAGGACTGCCTGGCTCTACTCTCGTTTATCCTAGAACACCAACTCAGCTGAGCTCCCAAGGATAGGCAGGAACTGAGTCTTATCTGGCATTCCATAAAGCTGGGCACTTTGGATATTCCTTATAGAAATATTTTTGGTGTTTAAGGTCAGAGCTGGGCTGAGGGTAGCACCCATGAAAGGCAGGATCTAAGGGTCCTGGGGTTGACTTCTCTCCCATGACCACTTCTAGGACCGAGAGGAGCGGAAGCTGCTGCTGGACCCTAGCAGCCCCCCTACCAAAGCTCTCAATGGAGCCGAGCCCAACTACCACAGCCTGCCTTCCGCTCGCACTGATGAGCAGGCCCTACTCTCTTCCATCCTTGCCAAGACAGCCAGGTAAATGTCAGAGGACCAGGCCTGGGTCAGAGCTCCTCTATCCATATTAAAGGCCAGGATAGAAGGAGCGAGGCTCAGGACATGGGGGATGGGATGAGGTCACTGGAGAGAGGTGCCTCCACGTCCAGCCCTGCTCCAGTAGGCAGGAGGGAAACTGGTGTCAGATAACCCTGGAGTTGGTACCTGGCACTGAGTCCTGTTTGTCCTTCTCAAAAGCACCTGTCATGTCATCTCTGTCTCTTCTCCCCAAAGCAACATCATTGATGTATCTGCTGCAGACTCACAGGGCATGGAGCAGCATGAATACATGGACCGTGCCAGGCAGTACAGGTAAGCACCTGGCCAGCGTGGGTCCCTCAGGCTACTTGGGCTCCTACCCTCCATCACTGTTCCAGCTTCGGAGCCTGGCCCCTAGTCCAAGCTTCTCATTTGGGGCAGCCCTGGAGACTGACCACAGATCACTTGGGTGCTTCAGTAAATATTCATGTCAGCCCTGTTTACCCTGTGACACTCTCGAGGGCATTGAGGCCAAGGGAGGTGGGCCTAGAGTGAGTCTGTGATGAGCTGAGACCTTCCCTCCCAGATAGCCCCCTCAGCACGCTGCTTCTCTGGCCTGAGGGGATGAGGCTTACCTGGGCTGGGCAGGGCAGACTGTGGCTTAACTGCCTACCCCCACCCCCTCTCTCGGTCAGCACCCGCTTGGCTGTGCTGAGCAGCAGCCTGACCCATTGGAAGAAGCTGCCACCGCTGCCGTCTCTTACCAGCCAGCCCCACCAAGTGCTGGCCAGTGAGCCCATCCCGTTCTCTGATTTGCAGCAGGTGAGACACCCCTTGCCTGCCCCTGCCCACCCTTCCCACACTGCCCAGGGTATGGCAGAGGGTTCACCCACTCTGCCTCAGAGGAGGTAGGGAAGATGGAGTTAGGGAGCCTGGTAGCCTTGTGGGCCCCAGTTCCCTCTCACCTCGTTCTCTTAACGTATGTCTTTCCTATCTCCTTCCCGCAACCTTTATTGTTTCACTCCCCTTTGTTCTTTTCCTTCTGTCTCTCCCATCCCTGTCTTTCTCTCTGCCTTCCTGTTCCCCATCATTCCTTCCTTCTCCTTCATCACCGTCTTATCTCCCCTCCCTCTTTTTCCTGATCGGCCTCCTCACCTGTCTCTGTTCCTCTCCTCCCCGGTCCCTCTCTGTCTTAGGTCTCCAGGATAGCTGCATATGCCTACAGTGCACTTTCTCAGATCCGTGTGGACGCAAAAGAGGAGCTGGTTGTACAGTTTGGGATCCCATGAAGAGAGGGGTCCTTGGACAGCTCTTCTCCTCTCTTCATCCCATCTCTACCCCACCCCCTTGGCCCCCAGCCTCACTGCGGCTTATATAGTACCCTAACCTGCTACTAATCACAGAGAAAAATGTGAAGAAGGAGGAGAAGAGGAAGGCTGGAAGCCTGAGCAAGTGAGGGTAGAATCTTATGGGACTGGCCTTTGAAGCTCTGGCCAGGGATGGGGTGGGGGCCAAAAGGACAGAGCCTGGTATGTCGTCATAGTCATTGAGAATGTGGAGATACCAGTTTGGGTGGGGGGTGATCACCAGGGGACCTAGGGAGATCCCCTTCCCACCCTCTCTCTTGGCCTCAAAGTCACTCCTGCCCCCTCTCCCTGACTTGGTGCTCACATGCACCTCACAAGGGTTTGTGACCAGGGTCTGGATGAGCTTGAATTTGAATGAATTGAGTTTGTATTTCTAGAACCCTGGGTTTTTACATGTTTGGTCTTTTTTTTGTTTTGGTTTGTCACCCTCGATAAAGGAAGTATATTCATCCATGTGCTGGTTCTGGCCCCTCTGTCCTATCCATTCTACTTTTGACTACTCAGGTCTATGAGAGTAAGATGGGGGGCAGGGGGCATCTTGCAGAGGCACTGAAGATGAATCCAGGAGATAAGGGTTTAGGGTGTCAGCTCCTAGCTGAGACCTGGCTTGGGCTAACCTCAGATTGGATAAGACTGTTCTTGTCCCTTGTCCAGTGATGATGGGAACACTGTCAAAGCTGAACAGACCTGAATCTGAGGCAGCTTTGATTCTTGGGGGCCCTGCCTCAGACTCAGTGGAATTACCAGCAGCCCCTGGGGGTGAAGGGAGACACCGCAGGTCGACGGGTGGAGAGTGAAAGCAGACCAGACTCTTCTGGGAATACGTAATATGGAGTCAGCAAGCAAATGTTTTTAAGCAGAAGATTCTTTTTATCAAATGAAATCCTAAGCAGAATCCCAGCATATAAAACATAGAATGGAATTAACTTTGATCTGATTGAAGTGGGGGCTGGTTTCAGAGATCATAGCCCATCTTCTTGGCCTGTCATGGAGGCCTGTGAGGCATCTCTACAGACCCTGGTACTCTGAAGAGTTTGGAAATTACTGATCTACTTTAACCCCCAAATCTCTAAGCTGAAAAGTACAAAGGGGCCCAGAAAGTTAGATAAATTTCCCAAGGCTATGTGATAAACCCAGGTCTCCAGTCCCAGACCAGCAGGCCTTTCCCTCAATTGCCTCCCTTTTTCAGCAAAATAAGACTAGAGCTGGCCAGGTATAGTGGCTTACACCTGTAATCGTAGCACTTTGGGAAGCTGAGGTGGGCGGATCACCTGAGGTCAGGAGTTTGAGACCAGCCTGGCCAATATGGCAAAACCCTATCTCTACTAAAAATACAAAAAAAGGCCAGGGGTGGTGGCTTACACTTGTAATCCCAGCACTTTGAGAGGCTGTAGTGGGTGGATCACCTGAGGTCAGGAATTCGAGACAAGCCTGGCCAACATGGCGAAATCTTGTCTCTACTAAAATGTAAAAAATTAGCTGGGTGTGGTATAGCAGGCGCCTGTAATCCCAGCTACTCAGGAGGCTGAGGCAGGAGAATTGCTTGAACCCAGGAGGTGGAGGTTGCAGCGAGCTGAGATCGTACCACTGCACTCCAGCCTGGGCGACAAAAGCGAAACTGTCTCAAAAAAATTTAAAAAAGCCAGTCATGGTGGTGTGCGCCTATAATCACGGCTACTGGAGAGGCTGAGACAGGAGAATCTCTTGAACCTGGGAGGCAGAGGTTCCTGTGAGCCAAGATCGTGCCACTGTACTCCAGCCTGTGCAACAGAGTGAGACTCTGTCTCAAAAAAAAAAAAAGAAAAGAAAAGGCTAGAGCTACTTGCAGTTGCCTGAGTTAGAGAACATCTCTACAAGGTGTAAGTGACTTCTCATCTGCTCAACAGCTCAAATCATTTATTGTCAAACCATGCTGTCTATTCTCAGGCCTTTAGGACTACTAGGGTCGTGGGAGCCTCAAAGTATATTCTGCTTGATCCGGGCCTTCTTGGGCTTGATGTTCATGCGTTTCCAGACTTCAGCTGTGGTGCGGTCTGCTTTGGTGACCCCACTGAAGTCGAACGTGGTGATATGGGGCAGGGTGCACAGCACATATTGCCTGTGGGGAAGACTCAGGCTAGGGGCCAGACCCCCCACCAAAATCTCCTTCCCCCTTCACCAGTTGCTGTTGTCTTCCCGGACTGCAAGGAATGGAGGGACTTGAGCATAGTTTGGGGAAGATTAAGTTTATCCTGACTGAGAGCAAGGAATGCTTAGAGGTCGGCTACCCACTTCCCAGGTCTAAGCATGGCAGAAGAATGGTCTTAGATTTCTTGTTTCTCCTCCTCCTTTCCCTTAGGGGAGCCCAGCTAGACCCTACCTCCAGGGGCAGGGCACTTACCTATACCCTTTCTCTTCCTCCATGGGGTTCCCATGGAGTGTCAGGCTCCGGAGCCGAGGAAGGACAGCCAGCTTATTCACCTCCCCCAGGTGCTGGATACTGTTGCCGTGAAGATAGAGGACACTCAGTTTGAAGAAAGTTGTTAGGACCTGTTGGGGAAGGAAACCAAAAGCCAGGCTAGACAGGATAGGACCCTTAATCTCTGCTCAGGGCTGATTCGTGGGCAGAGAAGAAAGAATGTGGGCAACAACCTGCCCTCCACTCCAACCCTCCACAGCCATACTGTATGACTCTAACCTACTGTTATTTACCTTTTAAGACATACAGGGCATCACACTGAAAAGGAGCTGTGATCTGAGGGTCAGGAGTATGGTCCTGGGTACCAGCACTGCCACTGACTTGCCTCTCCTGCCTTTCTCTCAGCCTTAGTTGCCCCTTCACTGAAGACCTTTCCAGCTTTGGTGATCTACGATTCTATCACAGCGAGCAACGGGAAGACAGAGTATCATGCTAGGCACATAAGAAGCTTTTAAAATACTGATTAAATTGAGATCACCACACCAGGGGAATAGTTTCCAAGTCATGCTCCAGCTCCTTTCCCCTCTTAGGGATCTTGGACCAGAAAAGGCCAAACTTTATTTCTTAAAACTTGAATCTGAGTTCACAGAAAGTAGGTGCTGTACTTTTATTGACTACCTCTTCCACAGGAGAACCCAGCACAGGACACAGTGGGTGCCCAGTGACAGTTACAATTTTACCTCAGCCTCTGATGTACCAGTTGTTTGTTGGTTTTCATGTACTTTCGTTCAATCCTCACAAAACCTTTATGATACTGGTGTATTATCCTCATTTTTCAGACAAGGAGGCTGCAGTTTTGAGAAGTTAGGTAGCTTGCTCAAAGTCAGTAAGAGGCAAACCCAGGATTTGAACCTACATCTGTCTGGCCCCCTAGCCTTGACTGCACCATGCTGCCTCACTACTTCCTTGATAACACGTAGGAGTGGAGAGGTTGGGGGCTGAACAAAGTGGCTTCAGGCTCCCCCGACTGGATTCCTAGTGTTAGGAACTCACAGGGTCAATGGAAGTCAGGTCATTAAACGACAAGTCGATCCAGGCCAGGTTCTCTGGGTGCTCCAAAAGCTGTGAAGCCACCTGGTTGAGGTCTCTCAGATCATTGAGAACATTGTTATTCAGCCACAGGGACTGGGTCAGTGATTTCCCTGACTTTGAACGCTTCAGTGGTCGTAGTCCTGTCCTTGGCTCCTCATTTACCAGGTCTGTGGGGACAAAGTGAGACTTGGGTATCATCTTTGCTTTTCTGGCTTGTGGGGGTGGGAAGGGACAGAGCTGGGAAGATTAGCCATCCAAGCTGTAGCTGAGTCTAGTGTAACCCTGTCCCATAGCTTCCAGCAATCAGTAAGTTTAGATTAAGGGCCAGAGACTTCTATCTCAAACTCTTGGCTTTTCAGGTTACATGGACTTCTCATGTCCACTGTACCACTGGGTCTTTTGTATACCAAATCAGTGTCAGGTTGAGGAAAACTAAGAACGAGAATTGTTGGGCTTGAGCCAAGTAGATGATAACACAAAATCCTGAATTAACCACTGGTAAAGCCTATAGAATTCACTTCAGTGGAATACACTCTGACATCCTCCCTGTCTTTCCATTAATGTTGAGTACCTGCAGTATGCCAGGTACTGGATATACAGTGATAAACAAAATGAGAGACAGTCTGTCGCAGACTTTGTATGAGTAATAGGGCAGAGAGCAGACATTTGTGCCTTAGAGGAGCTTATACGGGCAAGATGGGAGCAAACTGGCAATATGATGTGATAAGTGCTATATAATAGTCGTTTCGTAGCAGTACAGAAGAGAGGCTATTGACCCAGTATGGGAGCTCAGGGAGGTTTCCCAGGGCAGGTGAAGCCTGAGCTGAATCTCAGTGGATTAGGAGATGTTTTTCAGGCAAAGAAGGGTAAAAAGGCAGGGAACAGCATGAAGAAAGGTAGAGGTACAGGACAGCCGGGGAGTCTGGGGCAGGTTTGTGTGCCTGCACAAGTGCTCGCACGCACTGCACAAGGGGGACAAAGAGGAAAAGAAGAGGCAGGAATCTAGTCAAAAGTCTCGAATGCCAGGCTAAGGATCTTGGGCTTTACCCTGTAGGTAATGGGAAGGCACCAGAGTTTTTAAAGCAAATGATTCAAATCTTTTATTTCAGAAAGATCACTGTGAAGTGTCAGTGTGGAATATGGACTTTAGGGAGTGAGTTGGACCAAATGACCAATTTGGCTGTTTGAGTCATCCAAGCAAGACATGAGAGGGACGGACCTACAATCAACATAATTTGGTTGACTGGATGTAAAGGTAGAAGAATATTAAAGGGTGGTGGCCAGTTGTATTAACTAGTAAGGAATTACGGGAAGAAGAAACAGCATTGGGAAGCTGATGAGTTCAGGCTTAGCTTTGGTGTGTTCGAGGTTCCTGTACAAAAAGGTGGAGAAGCCAAGTAGGTAGTTGGAGATGAAGGTCAGAAGCTCAGGAGACACAGACTTGAGAATCGTTAGCAAAGAAGGCATACAAGTTAGGGAAAGAGATGAGATTCCTCATGGAGAGTGAGGGTAGGGAGGAAGGTCAGAGAGGAAGAAGAATCCATTAGAGAAGTTAAATAATCAGGGAAAATCAGGAGAGGACAGTTTAAAGATGTTCAGGGAGTAAATAGTTTATAGTAGTAAGTTCCAGGGAGGTAAGGACTAAAAAGTAATTCTGGCAACTTAGAAGTCCCTGGTAACCTTGGTAAGGGCTGCTTCAGTGGAATGGCAAGGGTCTGGGGGTAGAAGCCAGATTGAAGTGAGTGAGTTCAAGAGTGAATGGAGGCTGGGTTCATGCCTGTAATCCCAGCACTTTGGGAGGCCAAAGGAGGAGGTTTGCTTGAGCCTAGGCGTTTGAGACCAGCCTGGGCAACATCATGAAACCCCATCTCTACCAAAAAAAGAGTGAATGGATATGAGCAGTTAGCATAAACAACATCCTCAGAAAGTTTGGCTGAGGAGGAGAGAGAATAGGGAATAGGATTATGTTAAAACCCAGGTGTATGGAACACCCCAAACTCTCCTACTTTTTCAAAATGAGGTCCAGAAAGGATGGGCCTTGCCCAAGTTCAAAGTCGTAGAGTCAGAACCAGATGCCAGGTCTGGCTGAGGTAACTGTATTTTTCCCATTGCTGCTAAGCCTTTGGTTCCCTAGTTCACCTCTGGGGAAGGAAATATGTAGTATTTGCCGAAGATAGCCAGCTTTCTTCACTCTCTTTTCTGCTCTCTACTGGAGGGACACCCTTTGCCCTTCCACCCCCACCTTGCCTCCTCCTCAGCTGCAGGTCAGGCAGCATCCACCAGATGGCTCTCTGCCTTAGTCCTAGAGTGAGCAGGACCCACAGTTGGGGCCTGAGGTTGCAGGAGGGTACTAGAACAGTATCCCCCAGCTCATGAATTCCTAATCCTGCCTCCCTCCCTACACCTCCTGAAAACCCTGAAATAGAATGACACAGATGAATCAAAATTAAGGTCAAAATAACCCCACATGAACTAGTGCCCCATGTGATAAGGTAGCAGCTTGGGGAATGCCACTGAGCATGGGCTGGAGGCCAAGCTCAGAGGGAATCACTGGTGGGACGGAGTTGCCTAAAACTTGATGCTGGCTGGAGCTGCTCTTATCAGGGATGGAGTGGTATATCCAGGCTGCCACAGGTTGCTGCTCCTCTCAGATTCCACCAACGCACTATACTGCCTAAGAATCTGTAAAGTTCCTTGTTCAGAGTAGGCCAAAGCAGGTCTGGAAGCTGGACCACAAATATCGGTGCTTTGAGAACTGGGGAGCGTTTAGCTCCAGGAAGATCTGGGAAACTATGTTCCTGTTTTCCTTTCTCTGAAAGGCTGCCATGTAGCTGTTTCCATCTGTCAGAATACAAGTTAGTTTGATAGAACTTCCCTGTGTCATCCCTCAACCACAAACTGGAAGGGGTTGGTAGGTGAATATGGTGGGAGACTTCCTTAACACTCTAGGTTTGTGAAAAGTTAGAGGATCTGGGTTGGTGGGAGCACAGATTAGATGCCTTCCAAAAGCACTGCCATTTCATATTCTGTAATATGTATTCATTCAGCAAATAGTGTGCCAAGTACTCCCAAACTCTATTGTATCCCTTAACCCCAGCTGTAAATAAGTTTTTCAGAAGCTCTGGGGACTCTGAAGGGACTCTGACCTTTTGGGCCTTTGATGTGCCTCTCACACATCTAGCAAGGAGCATAATACCTGGCATATACATATGACACACAAACACACACACATATATAAATGCTTAATAGTAAGTGCTCAGTAAATACTGAATGGTCAAAAGAAGGATGGGGCATCTGTACCAATTACGTTTTGTGATGTAGAGTTACCCTTGGTACTGCTTGTCTCTCTCCCAATTCTGGGGACTCCATAGAGGGCAGAGCTACACCTCCTCCATCAGAGTTAGAAACTCCCATGATAGGTAGGAGGTATACTTCCAGCTCTGTCATTTCACCTGTCTTAGAGATAGTTACTATTGCAGCTAAAACCCCTTGTGAAACATGGACTACATCAGAAGTGATGCAGTGCACAATAAAGATCACAGTAGGTGGCTGTAAGCTCGTGAGAGAACAAATATGAGTTACCACTGTGGCTGATGATAACGCAAGTAGACCGCAAACCCAAGCTAAGACTGGTGCTATTTGCCAGCTTCCCGAGCTTAAAGGTCGTGGCTACCAATTGCCTGAGAGAAGATTAAAGCCAAATAATAGTTCTAAAACAGTGGATGTTAACATGTATTCTGTGAGGACAGATGGACTGATGCTTTAATGAAAGAGCAGATAACAAAAGCCAGGGATGGCAGAACTTCCCTAGGAAGAATGAATGACTCATTGGGAATATGACATGGCTGAGAGCCTCCCTATGTTCCCTCCTGAAGGGACTAGCTACCCATTTACAAAGACATTGAATGGCAAAATGGTAGCGAGTGTGGGCAGTGTTGGAATCTGCAATAAGTGTAGATGATGATGGAATAAACTTGGATATGGCTGGAATGAGTGTAAGAAATTTGTCAGTAAGTATTTAAACTGGAACTATGCCAGTTTGTTGATAAGACCCCTCATGTTTGGCCAGTCAGAATAGGCTTGTGTGTGCAGACAGAGGAGAAGGGTTTTGCCTACTTGCTGGGACTCCATAGGAGCCTGTGTTTTCCTCCTCTCTTCAGGTAAAAACAGGAGAATAAAACTACTGGCTGGTAGACTGGCTTCCCAGTTTTCTTCCACTTGACTTTCCTGCTGTAGCCTGGCTTCTTTTAAAGATGATCAACTACTGTGATAGCCCCCTGTTTCCTTTCAGATTTGCTCCTTAAAAAAAAACAAACAGGGGCACATGTTCTTGGGATCTCCTGGGGCTGTGTCAGGGGCAAAAACAAAACAAACAAAAAGACAAAAAAAAAAAAACCTCTCACTCTCCCCTACCCTCCAAAAGACAATAACAACACATCTGCAAGCATATAGGAAGAATCTCTTTAGGCTTTTAAGTAGATTATGGTTTCTCCCTAGGGACCACACTGGGCCTGCTGCCTTAGCGAGTGGAGTGCTGTGCTCTGGGGGCTGACCTTGAATGACGTGGATGCTTCTGAAGGAGTAGTCAAGTGGGGGCTCCTGTACCGAAGTGTTCATATAGTCCCGTTTGTTCATAGTTCAGGCCATCATTCATCAGGTAAAAGCAGGTGCCCTGGGAGTCCGGGTTCAGCCTGGGAGGACAGAGAAAGACAGGTGTTTCAAGTACACCGGCCTTCAGGTTTCCCCATAGTCTTCCATCCCTGCTTTCTATCCTCTACTACTCTAGGTCTGCCTGTCTGTATTTCCATTTTAAGATATGAATCACTATTCCTTGCATGTATAGAGCATTTTCTACTTCTCAGAGCACCTTCACATCTCTTAGAACTCATTTGAGAGTTGTAACACCCATTTCTTTGTCTAGAAAATGCCAGATGAAGAAACTGAAACCCAAGGGGTAAAAGGACTTGCCCAGAGTTAAGCCAATGATTCAGTTGTAGACTGCAGTCATAATCTCCTGACTCTGAGACCCTTTCTGTTACTCTACAGTAGCTACCATGGAGACTGTCTTGATATCCACCCTCTGGTGACATCAACTGGGCTATTCTATTGCTTAACAAATCCCTGAGGGCCTGTACCACATCTGATTGGTGTCTGACTGCCCCTCTCAGTCTGGCCCAGCTAGGGATTTGCCACCTTCTCCGCTTGGCTTCTGTGTCAGCTCCATTACCTTTCCATCCAAAGACCTACTTTCAGCCCTATCCTGAATGTAGCCATACACATATAAACATACACACACACAAAACCAGAGTCTACCTCTCACCTGTCACTGATGCCTGAAACTCCACCATTAGGGATTCATTCCTGTGGGTTCAGGGATGTTTCCGGTTAAAATGGAAATACTCCCTGAGAAGGATGAACACAATGTTGTTATCAGTCACTTGCAATGTGGTGTGAATTGTCTTATCAGATGGTTTCCAATTTGTTAGCTAAAGTAAAGCTGAGGTTTTTCTGGAGACAAGGGAGAACCATGAGAATACTACTCACCTGGGATAAAGAGAGCTGACAACACACTTTAACAAGGGGTTTGTGTGTGAATCACACAAGCAAAAGACAAATTGATAAGGATATAGGACAAGAACTTGTCCCAGTCGACCTCCCCTTTCTCATTCCATCCACTGCTGCCACCTTTGTATTATTGTTTGTATTACTTCACCTGCTTTCCAAAAGGATTTCAGGTTTACAATAATAACACAGTCATAAAACAGATGATTTGCAGAATAGTGCTGTCCACTAGAAATATGATGTCACAAATGCAAGCCACATATATAATTTAAAATTTTCTAGTAGCCAAAATAAGTAAAATGAAGTGGTAAAGTTAATTTTATTAACTTTATTTTACCCAGTATATCAAAAAATCATTCAATATGTAATCAATATTAAAACCACCTGAGATATTTTACACTTACAGCACACACCAATTTGGACCAGCCTACCTGTCAAATGTACATGACTAGTGGCTACCATACTGGACAGTGCAGATTAGAAAGTTAAAAATGGAAGAGAAAGATCAGAAACTAGATTACAGGAAGAGAGAGATGTGCCAGGCACTTTAAGAATCTAAGCCTACATTTAGCTGTGAAATTCCTGGCAGCCAAAGCAAAAAGAGAAACCTTGGGATTGCAGTTCTCATCATTGGATTCAAAGGATAAATTAGTTTGCAGAGACAATGAAATTGGCAAACAACCTTAAAGTGGAATTTCTAACTCGGGAGGCTGAGGCAGTTGGATTGCTTGAGCCTAGGAGTTGGAGGTTGCAGTGAGCTATAATTGTGCCACTGCACTCCAGCCTAGGCGACAGAGCAAGACCCTGTCTCAGAAAAAAAAAAGAGAGAAAGAAGAAAGAGAGAAAAAGAAAGAATTTCTGTTGAAAACCAAGGACCTGATATCTTATAATTCAGTTAGGCTTAATACAGTTCAAGTAAATTCTTTTTTTTTTTGGCAATTTAACATATACATGGATAGAGTTCAGTAGGTTTAGAGGAAAATGAATGTCTTGTTCTGAAAAAAATAGTCCCAACTGAGCTTTGGGAAGTGCAGCTTGAGTCACTTACAGCTTCTGTTATGAACTGGACAGTCCCATGGGCATGGATTGTCAATTAGGGAGACTTGAATCTTTTAGATATTAAATCTACAGGCAGAGTAACAAAGAACACATTATTCTTTTGTAAAATAGAGGAACCTGCTGTGTACTATAGAACTAGAGGAACCTGGCCGGGCGCGGTGGCTCAGCCTGTGATCCAGCACTTTGGGAGGCCGAGGCAGGTGGATCACGGGTCAGGAGGCTGAGACCATCCTGGCTAACACAGTGAAACCCCGTCTCTACTAAAAATACAAAAAATAGCCGGGCGAGGTGGCGGGCGCCTGTAGTCCCAGCTACTCGGGAGGCTGAGGCAGGAGAATGGCGAAAACCGGGAAGTGGGCTTGCAGTGAGTGAGAGATCCGGCCACTGCACTCCAGCCTGGGCGACAGGCGAGACTCCGTCTTAAAAAAAAAAAAAAAAAAAAGAACTAGAGGAACCTAGCTTATACAAGCCCATCCCTTCAGCACCTACAACAGTTGATACAAAAAAAAAAAAAAAAAAAAAAGAACTAGAGGAACCTAGCTTATACAGAAGCCCATCCCACTTCAGCACCTACAACAGATTTGATACCTTTGAACAAGATTGGATACTTTTCTCGAAGTAAATACTGGGTTGGTACCCCAGAGTTATGCACCACTGAACATGGATTTTAACTTGAAATACTTAAGGGCAGATTTTTACTGTTAGTCTTCTTGACTATCAGAGAACCCCAGTGCAGTTCCTAAAGACTTCTGATTTTGTGTAGCACCAGCTCCTGTTGCATTTTCTGAATTAGTATTACAAATGGAGCCCCAAGAAGCTGGTTAAATTTTTAGCCTTCTGCATTTAAGCTGTAGCCCAGGCTGTGAGCTAGTATCGCGTCTTATTCATTATCCAACATAGAACCAGGTTTAAAACAGGCACTCAGAAAATGTTTGTGGGATGAATGAATGAGAAACTGCCAATTCTGAGGATTTCTGTTTCAGAAGAGTTGATGCTAAGCTGTTCTAACAATTGGCTCCCAGGTTCAGCTGTTTCAGTCCACACCTTGTTCACAGTAAGATACTCAGTTCAATTCAGCAAACATTTGTTGAGTGCTTGCTGCTCTGTGCCTGACCAGAAGAAATGAAGCCAAGATACAAATAATAGAACTCTGTCATGAGCACAGAAAGACCTGCTGAGTTTCTGTTGATTGTGGCAAACCAGCCTGCATCCAGTTCCAAGTAACAGCTGCCCACTTAGTGAATACTCTCTCATGTTTCAACACTCAGTTCTAGTGTACCCTCTTCTATAAAGCCTTTCTTTTCCAGATAAAATTGGTTAATGTGTCCTGTGTTAGGCTGATTGTTTTGATGATCCCTATTCATGGTCTCCCCTGTATCCATCCCTTTTTGCCTATAACATTATAGTCCCATCTCACTCTGATGCTGGGCCCAGACATGTGACTTGTTTTAGCCAGTGGGATGTCAATAAACATGAAACAAACAGAAGCTTTAAAGGAGGCCTGCCTTCTTGCTCTCTGCCAGTGCCATGAGAACATGGCTGATCTGCTGAAGGGTTATGAGATGTGTAGGTGAGAGACATGCGAAGGAGCCAGTGATTCCAGCTGAAGCCATCCTAGACTAACCCACAGTCAGCCTACCCCCAGTCAAGATCAGGAGAGTCACCCAACCCACGGATGACTGCCGACACATGAGTAAGCCCAGCCAAACCAGAAGAACCATCCAGCTGACTCTAAGACTTAGAAGCAATAATAAATGTTTATTATCTTAAGCCACTGTGTTTTGGGATGGTTTGTTACACAGCAATAGCTAACTTCAGCATGCCCCCACTGTACTTTGAACAAAATTTTATTGAACAAAATTTTATTTCAGCCTGTTTACTCATCTGTGAAATGGAGACAAACCCTACTTTGAGAACTATTGTACATCTGGCATCAGGTGCTCAATAAATGGAAGCAGTTGTATTCTTTGTTAATTTCATTATAACCAACTTTGTTTACTCCCTGTAAGCTTGAGGACAGGGACAAGACTCAGACTTCTTTCTCCCTTCTCATCATTACCCTACATTGAACCTGGCAAAAAAAAAAAATGCATATTCACTAAAGGTTTGATGGACAAATGAAAATGGATGGACAATGGAAAAACGAAAGAAGAAATGAAGGAATTAATGGAGTCTTCAAGGTATCACATAGAGAGCTTGACTGCCGGAGAGAACTGACAAAGCCTTGATGCTGCCATGCTTAATCCTGTGGCTGTGTTTTTGGAGTCAGTCTTTCCCATCTGCTATTCTGGCTTATGACCAGGAGATAATCAGATGCCAGCACCTTCATCTGTCCAGACTGACTGACTTGATGAATGACAGGGTTAGGGGAATACCTGCCTTGTTTCGGAACTGGAATTTCTCATTTCCAAATTGACAGTATCTTTAACTTTTGTTTTTTAATTGTAAAAGCTAGTATGATAGATGATAGATGAATAAAGTGAAATGACATGGAGAAGTACATCAAATAGGAACTCAAAGTTTGAATCTCCATTAACAGTTTGGGAATATAACCTCCTAGAATGTATAGCTAATAAGGTTTTATACATACACACACGCACATGCGTGGTTTTCTTTTTTCTTTCTTTTTTTTTTTTTTTTTTGAGACAAGGTCTCACTCTGTTGCGCAGGCTGGAGTGCAGTGGTGCCACTTCAGCTCACTGCAACCTCTGCCTCCTGGGCTGAGGCAATCCCACCACCTCAGCCTCCCGAGTAGCTGGGACTACAGGCACACGTCACCACACCCTGCTAATTTTTGTATTTTTTTGTAGACACATGGTTTTGCCATGTTGCTTAGGCTGGTCTCAAACTCCTGGGCTCAAGCTATTCACTTACCTTGGCCTCCTGAAGTGCTGGGATTACAGGTGTGAGCCACTGTGCCCGGCCTAGATTATGTATATTTTTAAATAAACAATATTCCTTTATAAACCTATTTTTAAATTTTCGAATTGTTGTAGATTATTACCCTTTTTAATTGTTGCAAAGTATTTTATACTATGTATCTTACTTTAATGTTATTCACTTTTTTTTTTTTTTTTTTTTTGAGACGGAGTCATCGCTCTGTTGCCCAGGCTGGAGTGCTGTGGCCAGATCTCAGCTCACTGCAAGCTCCGCCTCCCGGGTTTACGACATTCTCCTGCCTCAGCCTCCCGAGTAGCTGGGACTACAGACGCCCGCCACCTCGCCCGGCTAGTTTTTTGTATTTTTTAGTAGAGACGGGGTTTCACCGTGTTAGCCAGGATGGTCTCGATCTCCTGACCTCGTGATCCACCCGTCTCGGCCTCCCAAAGTGCTGGGATTACAGGCTTGAGCCACCGCGCCCGGCTAATGTTATTCACTTAATTTAACTTTATTTAACCAATCCCAAGTTGACAGAAAACTGTTTTCAGTTTTGGGAAATTACTAAAGTTTGTAATTTGATTGTTGCTAGCCTATTCCTGACCTCTCTCAGGCAAGTTGCAACATGATAACACAGGAAGCTTTGAGGAATAATCACATAAATCTGATAGGAGATTCAACAGCCTGGCCTGAGAGTTTCTGATGATGGACTGACGGTGGAAAAAAAATAAAAGACTGCTATGAAAAATCTGCCACGTATTTAGCCAGGCATGGCAGCTCACACCTGCAGTCCCAGCTACTTGGGAGGCTGAGGTAGGAGTATGGCTCAAGCCCAGGAGTTCGAGACTGCAGTGAGCTATGACTGCGCCACTGCACTCCAGTCTGGGCAACAGAGCAAGACTCTGTCAAAAGAAAAAAGAAAAGAAAAAAGAAAAATCTGCCACATAATCTAATTATTCTGGGAGGTTATATTCCCAGGTGCCAAAAGGAGGCCCAAGATTCAACCTGGCTTCTGTTTACCCACCTCTACTACCATCTCAACTCCAATTCTGCAGTCCAGCCAAATGTAACTACTCACCATAAGTTCCTCGGACCTGCTGCTGGGCCTCTAAGTGGAACAGTGTCTCCTTCCAGCTCTGTCTGCTTGGAATATAGTTTTTCTCTCCTCCTTTTGCTTTGCTAATTCTTACTTCAGGGCTCAGATCAGGTTTCAACTTTTCTGAGAAGTCTACCTTTATCCTAAAATCTGTAATTATAGTGCTATGATTTCCATGGTGGCACTCATAACACTATAATTATCTGCTTACTATCTGTATGTCCATAAACACCACCAGGGCAGAAACCATATTTTTCTTACAGTTGTATCTCATAGTGCTGGCAAGTAGTAGGTGCTTAACAAACACATTAAAAATTGCAACTAAATAACACTACAAAGGAGAGGGACATGAGGTTGCTGTAATTGAGGGATCTGACCTGGTCTGAACAGTCTACAGGAAGACATTCTTGAAGAAGTGACTGAGAGAAATCCAAAGGATAAGTACAAATTAACTTATGGGGTAGGGAATGATAAGTACAAATTAACTTATGGGGTAGTGCTGTGGAATGAGCATTCTAGGCAGATGTGACTGCTATATGCAAAGGTTCTATGGTGGAAGGGCACTTGGAAATTTGGAAGACCTTAAAGGTTATATAACTGAAGGGGAGAGGAGGAGGAATATGTATGGTTAGACTAGAGGCTGGAGAGATGGGAGCAATAGGAAACCACAAAGTATTAATATTAAATGGGGGTTGGCTGGGCGTGGTGGCTCACGCCTGTAATCTCAGCACTTTGGGAGGCCAACGTGGGCAGATGACCTGAGGTTGGGAGTTCGAGACCAGCCTGACCAACATGAAGAAACCCCATCTCTACTAAAAACACAAAATTAGCTGGGTGTGGTGGCGTATGCCTGTAATCCCAGCTACTTGGGAGGCTGAGACAAGAGAATCGCTTGAAACCGGGAGGTGGAGGTTGCTGTGAGCCGAGATTGTGCCATTGCACTCCAGCCTGGGCAACAAGAGTGAAACTCTGCCTTGAAAAAACAAAAAAGAAAATTGGGGGTGGGGTGGAGAGTGAACAATTATCAGCTTTGCATTTTGAAGGATTACTCTGGTTGCAGTATGCAAATATGGCAGGACCTATATAAAAGATACTCAGGAAGTAAAGCTGATAAGACTTAATGATAGATGGGAAATGGAAGAGGTATTAAGTAAATGGAAGAGGTATTAACTCTTGGGTGTTGGGCTTGTGTATATTGTGGATAAAGGCAGGAGCACTGGAAGAGATCCAGACTTGGAGGAAAGGGTTGGGATACACAGAGATTGGTTTCAATTTCAGAAATGTAGAGTTTGGGTTGCCTTTGAGGTATCCTAAAGGAGATGTTGAGGAGGCAATTGGCTATATAGATCTGGAGCTTAGAGATGAGGACTGGGCTAGAGATACACACGTGTACATTTGCATACAGGTGGAAAATGAAGTTGTGGGTGTAGAGGGGTACCCAAGAAGAGAATATAGAGTGCAGTAGCAAGAGGCGTAGGACCAAACCTGGGAGAACTTTAAGGTAGTAAGTGGACCAATCAGGGCCAGCTAGCCACCAGCTAGAAACCAGCTAATCATGGTGGTCACTTCAGACATGGGTGCTGTGTTAGCACTTCTGTTTCCTGTTTAGTTAAAAATGTTCAAGTTTCATTGTCTTAGTCTCTCTAGTTCCTTTTCCCCATTAAAACTTTCAGGGGAGGATCTGAAATTCATTCCAGTGGAAGTGTAAATCCAAAGTAGGCCATACAGGTTCCTTTTCCCTGGGGCAGTTTAACTTGTTCCTTGGAACAAGTCCTTCAGCTATAGAGGCAGTAGGCTGAAGCTAAAGAGACTTAGCTGGAAGTTGGAGAACTGGAGTCTAGTTCTAGCTCTGTCACTAATTTGGTGTGTGGCCTTGGGCAAGTCCCTTTTCTCTAGGTTTTAGTTTTCCAATATGTGAAATGAAGATAAATATCTTTGATTCACAGAGCTGTTAAGAGTATCAAAAGACAGACTGTGAAAGCACTGGGTAGGTTACTAAATGTAATAGATCTGTCGTGAGGACTAAAAAGAATGAATCTCTAACTGTAAAGCTTTGAATAGCGGACCATGGATGTGTGGGGAGAAAAGGGAATCTGGGGACAGGTTGAGAAGGGGTTTTACTCCTTGGAAGAGGAAGGAAAGAGGCACTTCACGCCCCAGGAAGTTTCCTACATCTCCAGAATTAGGGTAGGGACTGCGATTTACTCTATCTAATGCTAACCACATGTCTTGGAAGGAGGTCTCAGTTCCTTAGAGGAAAACTCCATTTCTGAGGGCGTTTCTGATCTCCCAGGTTATGCCTGGAACTTGAAGCATCCGATTTTGGGAGCCTTATGTTTGCGTTGGGAGCGGGGTTCTTTGTTTTGTTTTGTTTCCTTTTGTTTTGAGATGGGGATATTGCTCTGTAGCCCACGCTGGAGTGTAGTTGCGTGATCACTGCAACTCACTGCAGCTTCAATCTCTGGGCTCAAGCGATCCTCCCACCCCAGTCTCCCTAGCAGGTGGGGTCACTGGAGCGCGCCACCAAGCCCGGCTAATTTTTTTGTATTTTTGGTAGAGACAGGGTTCGCCATGTTTCTCAGGCTGGTCTCGAACTCCTGGCCTTAAGCGATCCGCCTGCCTTTGTCTCCCAAAGTGTTGGGATTACAAGCGTGAGCCACCGCCCCTGGCCCTGGGGGAGGTTCTTAAGCATCCCCAAATCTGTATGGATATATATCTCAACGCCTTTCCCTCCCTCTGTTCCCCTTGCCCAGTTTGTCCCATGTGAGTGTTGTGTCTTGTTCACTGTGAAAGGTGATGAGGGTCGGTTGGGGAAATCTCAGATACCTGAGCAGGGAGGTTCTTAGTCATTCTGTGAGTGCCCCTCCCTTCTCCATAGATCTCTTGTCCCCTAGAACAGGTTTCCTGTTTTCCCGCCCGACTCACCCGCAGTCGCTTCCTCTCCAGTCTTGGCGTGCCACTGCCTCACGGTTACTCAGGGCAACTCCATGGCAACTACTTTCGTCACCACGACCCGGCAGGCGCCATAAGAACTAACGCGGTGCTTACCGGGACCTGTAGTTTGTCATGGGCGGGGCTCTAAGGCCGCGGGTGACGCTGGGATTTGTGGTTCTCTTTGCCTTCAAGTCCAGGCCGGGGTCCGGAAGCGGTGATACCCCTTCTCTTTCCCAGTGGCCCTCAAACTTCCTTTTCCCGGGTCCTTAAGCGTGCCCCGCGTAAGTCAACGGCCGACAGAGGCCAATCAGAGGGCCGCGCGAGGGGGCGGGGCCATAGTTTAAACTAATTGTGCGTTCACAACGCTGGCGCGAGCCCAGGATTAAGTGCGATTCGGGTGAGTAGGGAGGCAGAGCGCGAGCGCGCAGCCAGGTAACCGGCGTGGGCCCGCGTTTGGCGTGCGGCCTGGGCACCCGCAGGGGTGCCAGGCCTAAAAGGGGGGCTGGAGAGGCTGGTGCGAGCGAAAGGCCTCCTCCGTAACCGAGTCCGAAAGGGCAGAATCTAGCGGGGTAAGGTTTGTGAGGAGAGGCGCCTGAGGGGGAGGAGCCGGGGGTGCCTTAAAGGGGAGGGTCTGTTTGGGGGCGTGTCTGTGGAATTAAGTCTGAAGGTGACGGGGGTCGGGGGTAGGGCAAGTTCCTTAAAGGCTTGTAAGCGAAGGGTCGGGTCTTGGAAAATCTTCGTCTTTTATCGGTAACAATAGCAGTAGTCAGCATTTTCTGAGCTACACCGTCCACAATGATCTGCCAAATGTTTATCTTTTTAATCTCCTAACCACTTGTTATACTTTAAAGATGGGGAGCCTGAGGTTTGTAATGTTTAGCTTGGCCTGGTTTACGTAGCCAGTGCGAGGTTGGCTCTACTTGGGGTTTTGCGGGTTGGGCATAAATGGGGACGGGGAAGGTGCTGTGTGGGGGCGCGCGTTGTCTTGGACTGGTCAGTGTATTTTGAGCCTCACTTTTCATATATGTAAACAGTGACCTCACCTGCCTTACCTACTTCCTGGGGGTGGTTGCCCTGGTTAAAACAGGTATGTCTTTTTCTTTTTTTTTTTTTAAATAATTTTTTTGTTTGTTTTTGTTTGTTTTTTCATCCACGGACTCTCACAGATAACATGTTTCATACACGCACCTCGGAGAGTACAAATTTATGACTATAAGTGGGGTGACTGTGTGAAGATTGTGGGTGGGCCGGAGCCCACTGGGTTAATGCTGCCGCCTATGGGTACTCTCTTTTGCTTACCTCTGAGTTAGCGCTTGTCATCTGTTATTTTTTGTTTTGTTTTGTTTTGTTTTGTTTTTTGAGACGGAGTCTCACCCTGTCGCCCAGGCTGGAGTGCAGTGGCACGATCTCGGCTCACTGCAAGATGTGCCTCCCGGGTTCAAGCAGTTCCCTGCCTTAGCCTCCCAAGTAGCTGGGATTACAGGCGCCCGCCACCATGCCCGACCAATTTTTGTATTGTTAATAGAGACGGGATTTCACCGTCTTGGCCAGGCTGGTCTTGAACTCCTGGTGTCGTAGTCCGCCCGCCTCGGCCTCCCAAAGTGCTTGAATTACAGGCGTGAGCCACCACGCCCGGCCTGTCATCTCGTATTTTAAGAGTCTATGCGAGTTTGTCTGCCCTTCTAGATAATGAGAGACTTTTTCGTCACTGCATCCTAATGGCCAGGCAGGATTTGCGACATGTTATGGGAATAAATGTATGTTTTGGAATAATTTCTTGGGCTGAAAGGGCACAGGAACTTCACTTTCCCGTTTTCATTTAGTGGCATTTGAACCTCAGTATTAAGCTGTCCTCTTTTCTGGAATGGCACTCCCTCTTGAAAACGTGATGATATTTTCTTGCTTTAATACATAGTTCCCTCTCTCTAGTATCTGTTGCCTGGTTCTATGTTTCCAAACTTCTGGGTTGTCTGGTCGTTAAAGCTTTAATGGTGAGGGAGTTGGGCCTCTCTTTACTGCTGTGAATATATGAGAATCTGGGGCGAACGTGAGGATCATGTAAGGTGCTTTCTGTCAGCACAGATGGGTGTGTGTTTCTTCTCTCCCTCTTTCTGTGTGATATTTTCTTTTTTAGAGGAAGAACCACATACTTCTTTGTGAAAGCTTCCAAACTACTATTTTCTTAGCCTAAGTTCAAGCAAGGGATGACTAATTGTAATGTCTAAGTTTTTAGTTCAAAGCGAAAAGCTGTACATTCCAAAAGCTTAAAGATCTTACCTGAAAGCTAATTAAGAAACATAGAATTCTTTTTCACATGTGGAACATGGAAGTGGGAAGAATGCCTTGAAATAAGACTGAATTCTAGAATTGTTAGGATGAGGGCATAGCGCTGCTCGGGTAGCTGAACAGAGCTGATCAGCGGCTGTTTGGACAGCTGTGTTTAATTGATAAAACTGTGATCAGAAGATATTAGGTTGGTGCAAAAGTAATTGCAGTTGTTGCTGTTGAAAGTAATGGCAAAAACCGCAGTTACTTGTGCATTAACCTAACATATGGTGTGGTCATTTAATTCAGCCTCTTACCCAGTGTACACTAAACATACAAAAGGTGTTGTCCAGACTCAAAGTGAGTACTTTCTAGAATGAGATCATTCCCAAAGTCAATCCATCTCTATGTTGAACAATTTTAATTAATAATTATTATTTTGTAGCTGGGCATGGTGGCTTGCCCTGTCATCCCAACTACTCTGGAGGCTGAGGCAAGAGGATTGCTTGAGCCTAGGAGTTCTTAGCTAGCCTGGGCAACAGAGTGAGACCCCAACTCAATTAAAATATGTATATTGTTTGGTATTGTTAGTGATTATTTTGTTTTACCCATGTATGTCTGCTTTTGGCTTTTTCACCGTTCTTCCCTGCATTTTATTCCTTCCTTTTTTATTGCATAGATATATACATCCCCCAGATGTTTGCTTCAGTGGGAGTCTGTTAGTGGTAAACACTGTCTTCATTTAAAAAATCTTTATTTCACTTTCAGTCCTTTTTTGAGACGGAGTCTCGCTCTGTCGCCCAGGCTGGAGTGCAGTGGCGCGATCTCAGCTCACTGCAAGCTCCGCCTCCCAGGTTCACCCCATTCTCCTGCCCAGCTCACTTTCAGTCTGGATTGGTATTTTAGCTGGGTACTAGGCTTCCAATTATTGCCTCTTAGCACTTTGAAAGTGTTTTTTCAGCCGGGCGCGGTGGCTCACGCTGGTAATCCCAGCATTTTGGGAGGCCGGGGGGGTGGATCACAAGGTCAGGAGATCGAGACCATCCTGGCTAACATGGTGAAACCCCGTCTCTACTAAAAATACAAAAAAATTAGCCGGGCGTGGTGGCAATCGCCTGTAGTCCCAGCTACTTGGGAGGCTGAGGCAGGAGAATGACGTGAACCTGGGAGGCGGAGTTTGCAGTGAGCTGTGATCACGCCACTGCACTCCAGCCTGGGCAACAGAGCGAGAATCCGTCTCAAAAAATAAATAAATAAATAAAAAACCGAAACTGTTTTTTCATTGAAATTCTGGCTTTTTGTTGTTACTCCTGAGAACTATGCTTACAGATTAACTTATTTAATTGTAGGTAACTGTCTTTCTTTCTGGTTGTTTTTAAGATCCTCTTTGCTATCATTTGTGTTCTGTACTTCCATTACATGGCGTGAATTTAATTTTCTTAAATCACTATATACTGGGGGCATATAGTAATTCCTTAATCTGAAATTTCATATATTTTCACTAATTGTGTAGAAATTCCCAATCATTACCTCTTTACCTCTCTCAGATCTCATGCTTAACTTATGTTGAACTTCCTCATTCTGTCGTCCACATCTTATTCCTTCTTTCATAATTTCCATTTCTATTTTTCTGTGTTAACTTGTGGATAATTTCCTTATATCTATCTTCTAGTTTACTAGTTAACTCTTCAGCTAGGTTTGATTTGTTTTTTGAATTCTTATTTTTATTAGCTAACTTTTTCATTTATTGGAAGTACTCTTTGATTCATTTTCAAATCTGCTTGTTTTTCATGATCTTGTTTTTGTCTCATGTTTTCAATTTTGTGTCTGTAATAATTTTAAAGAAAGTTGAGTTTTGGCAGATGTCTACACCTGTAAACAGAAACCATAATTGAGATACAGAGGATTTCTCTCACCCCCAAAAGATTTCTCATGCTTTTTTTTTTTTTTTTTTTTTTTTTTTTTTTTTAAAGATGGAGTTTTGTTCTTGTTCCCCAGGCTGGAGTGCAGTGGTGCAATCTCAGCTCCCTGCAACCTCTGCTTCCCAGGTTCAAGCGATTCTCCTGCCTCAGTCTCCTGAGTAGCTGGGATTACAGGCATGTGCCATCATGCCCACCTAATTCTGTATTTTTAGTAGCTACGGGGTTTCACCATGTTGGTCATGCTGGTCTTGAACTCCCAACCTCAGGTAATCCGCCCTCCTCGGCCTCCCAGAGTGCTGGGATTACAGGCATGAGCCACTGCGCCTGTCTCTCATACTTCTTTACAGTCCATTTTTCCTTTCACTCTGATACCAGGAACCACTGATTGTTTGTTTGTTTGTTTTTCACTACAGATTAATTTCTGCTTTCTAGAATTTTATTTTATTTTATTTTTTGAGATAGGATCTGTCTGGCTTTGTTGCTCAGGCTGGAGTGCAGTTGCAGGATCTTGGCTTACTGCAACCTCTGCCTCCTGGGCTCAAGCAATCCGCCCACCTTAGCCTACCAAGTAGCTGGGACTACAGGTGCACACCACCATACCCAGCAAATTTTTATATTTTTTGTAGAGACAGGGTTTTGCCATGTTGCCCAGGCTGGTCTCGAACTCCTGGGCTCGAGCAATCAACCCACCTCAGCCTCCCAGTGTGCTGGGATTACTGGCATGAACTACTTCACCCAGCCTGTTTTGAATTCCTAGAAGGTTTTTCCCTCCTATCTCACTAAGTGAGCAAGGCAAGCTTTTTTATTTCTCTCTGGACAGATTTTTTTTTCCTAGTTTATTATCTTAGTATAAATTTAAGAGTCTCGCCTCTGCACAGGGATCTCAGTGCCTTTTGTGGACTTAAGATCTGTCTTCTGAACCTATGAGGGTGTTATAAATTCCATACACTGCTACGACAGCTATGTCATCAGCTCACTCAATCCTCCTGACTAATTCTTTGTTTTTGGTTCCTGGGGATTTTTCTTACTTTCTTGAGAGCTCA